CGTTTTTGTTTTGCGGTCCGGTTTTGTTTTGCACTCCGGGTCTTGTTTTGCGCGCCCGTGTTGTTTTTCCACTCCCGTTTCTGGCTTGTACTCCCGGTTTTGCTTTGCACGCCCGTGGCTGCCCCTTTTCCTTCTGTCACACACCCCCCCCCCCCCCCCTCCTCGCGGCGGCGGGGCCCCCGCGCGGGGAGACCTGCAGGCGTGCACCCCCCAAATGCAAAGCAGGTTTCCTCCTTTTCCCAGTCCCCCAAGCAGGTGTGTGTCGTTCCCCCTCAGCTGAACCCCCATCCCGGTTGTATGTGGGAAGCACAGAAAGGGAGTGCTGAGGCCTGCGGAGGAATGTGGGGTGGAGGGATGGGGTGCCAAGAAGGGATGGGGTGCCAAGACTCGACTCTTGTTGCAGAAGACGAGGGGTGCAGGCGTGGGTGTACAGATTAGGAGTGCAGAGTCGCGAGGACACGGCGCTGGGGGGCAGGGGTTCTGGACTGGGAAGGGGCCGTGCTGTGCTGGGCTGCAGCTGGGGAGGCGCGGAGGTGCCGTGCCGGGGTGCGAGGGTGCCGTAGCACCCGCAGCAGCCCCGGGAGCGGCGTTGCGGGACGCGGGGCCGGCCCGGCCGCGCTGGCCCCGCCCGACGGGGCGGACACCGCCCATATAAGCGGGGGCGGCGCGGGGGGAGCTGCAGTGCGTTCAGCTCTCGCTCGTCTGCTTGCGACGCTCTCCGCAGCCATGAGCACCGGCATGTACCAGTCCCCCATGGAGGTGGCTGTCTACCAGCTCCACAACTTCTCCATCTCCTTTTTCTCCTCCCTGCTGGGGGGGGACGTGGTCTCCGTGAAGCTCGACAACAGGTAGGGGCAGCCCCGGTACCGGCCGCGGTCCGCCCCGCCGTTTTCTGCCATGGCCCGGGCCGGGCCGGCCCGTTGTCCCGGGTGAAGGGGCGTCTCGGTGCCCCGGGAGAACCCGCTGCATTGCCCCTGCGGGGCGGGGGGGGGGGGGCAGGTGCATTGTTCCTGTGGGACGGGGGGGGACGGGGGACTGATGCATTGATCCCTGGTGAAGGGGGAAGCCCCGCTGCATTGCGGCCCGGGGTAGGGGGTGTCCCGGTGCATGAATTCCCCGGGGAGGGGGTGCCCGGGGGCTCGCTGCTAACGCCCAGCCTCTCCGCTCTCTTCCAGCGCCTCCGGAGCCAGCGTGGTGGCCATCGACAACAAGATCGAGCAGGCAATGGTGAGCCGCAGTGCTGCTCCCCCCACCGCGGACCTTCCTCCCTGACTCCTCCCTGGGTGCTTTTGCTTGGGGGGGGCTCCCCACTCCCCGGGTGGGTGCTGAGCCCGGAGCGGGGAGTCCCCGCTCTCCAGCCCGTTGCGGAACAGAGCAGCTCCTTTGTCTGCCCGCCGCAGCTGGCTGAGCTCATTGGCTCCGGCAGCACCGCAGTGCGCAGGGAGTCTGCCGAGGGGGGAACCTGGGAAGGACCCTCTGGGGATGGGGGGGGGACGACACCAAGCCAGGTCGCATGGGTGGTAGGGAACTGCAGCCTGCCAGACCCCGGGGGGGGAGGGGGCGGGCGGGCGTTGGAGAGTGCCTCCGGAGGCAGCAAGACCTGGGAGATTGGGGACCTGAGGGATGCTGTGGATGCTGGCCTAGGGGGGCTACACTGGTGAGCACCGAGCCCTGGCCAGGGTGCCAAGGGTGGTGTGGGGAGGGGAGGCCTTTGGGAAAAGCCTTTGTGGCACTTGGTGGGTGGCTGGGGGCAGAGCTTTGCGGGGCAGGGTGGGAGCAACCCCCAAGGTGTAACTGTTGAGTGATCAGTCTCTTCAATGGGCCTTTTGCAGGATCTTGTGAAAAATCACCTGATGTATGCAGTGCGGGAGGAAGTGGAGGTCCTGAAAGAGCAAATCAAAGAACTGTTGGAGAAAAACTCCCAGCTGGAGCGTGAAAACAGCCTCCTGAAGACCCTCGCCAGCCCTGAGCAGCTGGAGAAGTTCCAGTCCCGGCTCCCTGCAGAGGTCCTGTGCACAGAGGAGCAGAGCCCCGGGGCAGCTGCCCCAGCCCAGCACTCAGGGGGCTCTGCGGTGTAAGGTGGCTCTGTCCTCGGGGTGGGCAGAGCCACAGAACTCTTTCTACTTAATCTCCTGCAAAATCGTTTCTGCCTTCATCTCACACGAAGGACTGCCAGACCCCGGCGCTGAGCCGTGCCTCCCCCTGGGCAAACCTGGCCAGCCAGCAGAGCCAGTGGCCGTCTCCTGCACGAGGATGCTCTTCTGCGAGGGAGATGCGGGCAGCTGACCACTCCCCATCCAACCACCTGCCGTGTGCCAGGAGTAAATCTGTGGCCCGCCCATCCCAGGCTCTGTTGAAACCTGGGCATCTGCAACACCCTGGCAGTGCCAGGTGGCCTTTGGCACTTTAATGGGAATCCACGGTTGGAGGAGCGCATGCTGAGTCCTATGCCTTTGCTGCACTGTGCAGGGGGGGGTGTCTCTTTCTGGCAAAGCCTGACGTTGGAGGAAGACCGTTGTTTAGTGAGCGATGCAGATTTGTCCCGCTAGCCACCCAGGAGCGTGCTCGAACCCAAACCTGACTCTGAGCAGCATCGGTGGTGGCAGTTGCGGTGTAGTGCATGGCTGTACGCACATCAGTGTGGGGATTACAAGGAAAAAAAAAGCTTGTTTTATTAGTTTGGGCATCTTCTGTAGCCGTATCTATGTATAAACACACACATGAGCAGTGCCCACAAGGCTGTGGGGTGCCCTGCTCTAGGCCAGCCATGCCCATCTCTGTACAGCTGGGGGATTCGAGGCAAGACTGGAATGGCTAATGGCTGTAACTGGGTGGCCAGCACTGTGAGCGGCACGAAGGAGGGGGATGGATTCACCGCTCTCTGGTATACACCGTAACAGAGCCATGCAGCAGTGCTGGGAGGATCTGGACTGACCGCTGGGCAGAGCCATGACAGGGGCTGTGGTCCAGCCTGCTGGGTTGGGGGGAGCCAGCCTGTGCTCCTGGGCTCCCCACCTTCCCTGGCCAGCTCTCTGGGAAGTGACGGGACGTCCCTTTTGACGTCGGAAGCGGTGACACAGTTGTGTAAATCTAGGTAGAAATGGCAATAAACTCTACTTTTTATATAAATGTGCACCCCAAGCTGTGTGGCTGTGGCTGGGAAGGGTGAGGTATTGGGGTGCTGGGGTGTGCTGGGGCTTGCTGGGATGGGACTGGTGAGGATACTGTGCTGCCAACTTGCTGGGGGCTGGGCTGATGCTGCTCCCCAGCTGAGAAAACCTGGCAGCTCCCCTCCTTTGGGGGAGGGGGTCAGTCCCCCCTAAACCACCCTGGTTAAGCCAAGTTGAGATTTTGGAGATGTGAGCAGGCACCCCCTTCCTGGGGGCTGGGTGCACGGTAGGAAAGGTGCCCTGAACCTACAGGTCTTTGTCCTCTGTGTCATGCCTGTGACCAGGGGGGTGTGCAGGCCAGGCTGGGGGTGTGCAGGCCAGGCTGGAGGGGGGCAAGCAGGGAGAAGGCTCTTCTCAGGCTGTGCAGAGCTGTATGGACCCCAGCCCAGCTCTGCTCTTCCTCTGGTGGTTTTGTTCTGTTGCTTTTCAGAGACATCATCGTTTTTGGTTTTTTTTATTCCTTGAACTGTCTTGAAATAGGGTGTGAGGGTCAGAGGAGGGGTCAGCTGGACTGAACAGTGCTGGATGGAGGCTAAGGGTGCTCCAACCCTATCCTATGGTACAGCCAGCCTTGGATTCAACCCCATGGGGTGGGGGGGGGAACAAACAAACAAAAAAACCAAAAACAACTCTCCATCTCTGGGGATGCTGGGTGGCTATGATATTTGAGTGAGGGTTGAAGGCTGGTGGGTACCAGGAGAGCCAGGAGGTGTGTCAGCAGAGCCTCAGGCTGGCAGGATGTTTGAGGCTAGATGCAGTATCCTCCCCCGGGGTTTTATACCCTGGACTCAACTCCTCAGCTAGCTGGAGACATCCCCAGCTCAGTGAAGGGGGCCAGCAGTGCCCCAGGCCCAGGATAGCTGGTTGGTGGCCATACCCTGTGCTGCCGGCAACACTGCTTTGTGCTGCTTTAGGTCTCTGCTGTAATGACGGCGACTCAGCCCCAGCTCAGTGTGAGTCATGGCAGAGCCAGGGAGCTGAGGACGGTTGGCTCCCTGGAAACGCTGGGTAAACAGCAAAACACAGGCCAGGGCAGCTCAAAACTGTTACGGGGTGCCTGTCCCCTCCCTATCCTGTCCCAGGGCTGGGACTCAACCGCAGCCTTGTGCAGGCAGCCCTGCAGGCACTCTAGTGCAAGGGCTCAGCATGCATGCGCGTGTGCCTTGGGTGTATGAGTACCATGTGTGGTTGCTTTCCCTGCTGCATGTGCATGCATGTGCCAACAGGTTCAGGCCCCCCCCCCCCATACCATGTGTATACGCATCCCTTGCACATACAGGCATTGCAGCAGGGGGGGGGGGGGGGGGCACACAGGCAGCACACCCCCAGTGCTGCCAGTCCCTTGGGTGGTACAGCTACTCCAGGAAGGGCTGTTCCCCGGGGGCAAATGGATGCAGGCTGTGTTTGCACTGGCCATTTCACTATAGTGGGTCTTAGGGGTGCTACTGGCCTCCCAGCTGCTGGGAAATGGTTTGCCCGCCCTTCTGCACCTTGCTGGCTGGGGAAGGTTTGGGCTGCAGTGATGAGCTCTGTACCCAACTGGCCTTGCTGCACCCCCCACCGTGGCTGCATTTGAGGGATGTGGCAATGGCATTTGGAGTCTGAGTGTCATTTGCCATCTCTCCCTGTCCTCGGTCCCGTCCCCACGGCCCTGGCATGCCCCCCAGCCTGAGCTCGCATGCCTTTGTGCAGCGGGAACAGGCAAAGGCACCCAGGGAAGACCCTGCTCATTGCAAGCACTGCACAAAACCCACTGGCTCCAGATCAGCCTTCCTCACACGGGTGGGCAGAGCCTTTTTCTGTCCCCGCAGGGTGGTGTGACACAATGCCAGCCAATGGCACAGGGCAGCCCCGCCAGACACCCCTCCCTGCCGCTGGCACATGCCACCACAGAGCTGCCCAAGGCTGAGCCCAGCCCTGGGGATGTCCCCGGGGTCCCCTGGGAGCAGCAGGCAAGGAGATGAACCCTCGGGCTGAGCACCTGGCAAGTCTGTGGGTGCAGCAGCTGAGGGAAAGGGGATGCCAGCCCCCCCACCCCCAGGGCACACAGGGTCTGCTCCCCAGCTCCAGCTGCATCTGGGGGCTGGAGGAGGTCTACCAACACCCCTATGTGGCCCGAAGACACCCTATGCCCTTCCCAGGCCCTCTGGTTATGGAAAACGCTTGGCAACACCCTTCTCAGGCTGCCTGTTCCTTCTGAACACAATGTCCCCTTGCGCTGTGCCACAGGCCCTGAAGGAAGCGGTACACATTGTGCAGCACCCAAAAATGCGATAAGGGCCCCTCCCTTCCCACTGGCACTGCTCTCTGGCTCCCTGTCCCCGCCAGCCCCTGCGCTCGACAGTGTTAATCCCCTGGTGCAGCGAGGGTGCCGGGGTACCGTGGCACCCCAGCCCTCTCTGACAGCCCCCCCATTTCCCACCTCCCCTCCCCAGCAAGGATGACAACCACGGGCAGCAGAAGGAGGGGAAGCGGAGCCAGACGCTAAGGCAAGGCAGGCAGGGCTGAGCTCTACCCCGCGACACGGCAGGGGCTGACCTGGGCTCCTTCCCCTGCTTCATCGTATTCCCCCTTCCCGGGGACGAGTCAAGCTCAGCAAGTCCCTAAGGCGGGGACGTGGGTGACAGCACCAGTCCGGACAGCGGAGGGTTAACGCTGCATCGTGGCCATCACGGGCTGCCCCCGCTTCCTGCAGCTCGGCGGCGCCCCAAGGGTTAACGCGCCGCAGCAGGAAGTTTCGAAGAAACGGCCGATTTCTGAAAAAACGAGAAGCTGCTGCTGCGCAGAGCGGTGCTTTCCCGGCCGGGCGTGATGCTGCCCGGCCCCGGCATTCCCGCACCCCCGCAGCCCGGCATTCCCTCCCCCCCGATGTGCCCGGGGGGGGGGGTGCCAATGTGGCACTAGGAGTGGGGACCGTGCACCCACACCTTCCCCCTTGTCCTTGGGCCAGGGCGGGTCTGGGGTGGGGAAGGGGGTGAGATGGGAGTGGGATGGAGATGGAGATGGGATAGGATGGGGATGGAATGGGGTGAGGATGTGGGTAGGATGAGGATGGGAGTGGGGGTGAGGTGGGATGGGGATGGGGATGGAATGGGGAGAGGGGGATGGGATGAGGATGCTGCATCCCTCTTCTCCCACCCTGCCAGGGCAGGCTGAGCTTCCAGGGCTCCCCCCAGCCAGGAGGCTGGATCAGCTCAGGGGCATGATAGAGAAAAGGGGTTGAGGGAGTTCTTGTTGCAGAGCGGGGTAGTGCATATGTGGCTGATGCTCAATGCAGCGTGCATAGGGCAAGCAGCTGCCTGGGAAGATGTTTGGAGCGGCATGGGGAGAGCAGAAGGGTTTGGAGGTCCACCCAAGGGTCAGGTGTATGTGGGGAGACATCCCCCAGCTTGCATGTTCCTGCTCTCTCCCCACTGCACCCTGTTGGGCTCTGCATGCCAGGAGCCCATCTGGGAAGACTCAGCTGCAGCCAAAGCGGTCAGCCTTATGCAAGCGTCCCTCCCTGCTCCTTGAACGCCGTGTCCCCGCCCGGCCCATCCCCACAGGAGCCTCGCAGATAAATGAGTGGCTGGGATTTTCCACACATTCCTCAGAGCCCAGTTTCCCCCCGTGGATCCAGATCAGCTCACACCTCTGGCCGGGCTGGGGATAGCCCACCTCGGGCTGCTTGGGACCACTCACAGGCCCGGGGATCCTTTGGGAAGGGAAAGCTGTGCTACAAAACAGCAGTTCCCGCTGGAGAGCAGCACGAGTCGTGGCTGCCAGGCCTGAGCAAGCAGAGGCTAGGTGCGGTGCAGATCTGTGCATGGCAGTAGCAAGCCTGCACACAGGCAACAAGGGCTGCTTTGGGCTCTGTCTGCAGCAGCCCCCCTGAGGATACGTGCACAAGTGTTGTGTAGGCACTGGCACCCCCTCCCCAGCTGAGCACTGCCCTGCAGGAGAAGCCAGAAGAGGGGAGAGATGCAGCCTGAGGATGAGCCAGTGACAAGACTCAGGCACGCAGGAACCGTCCCCCAGGAACCCCTGCAGCAGGGTGGATGGGAGTGAGCAGAGGGGCTACCCCCATTTGGGGCTGGGCCCGGGGGGGACTGCTGAGGGTTGGGAAGATGCTCGGAGCTGGGGGGTCCTGGTCCAGCCTGACTCCTTCCCTGCAGCTCAGCAGTACCAGCCCTTCTGCTGTGCCTCAGTTTCCTCTCTGCAGTGTTTCAGGTCCCTTGGGAAGGGGGTTTCTCCAGGGCAGGGCCAGGCTGAGACCCTAGTGCTCCTACAGATAATCCCCAGCTGGGGATGGGGTTGCAGGGGCCACATGGCAGTCAGGATCAGGCCCCAGGCCCCAGGCTCAGGCCGGACGGAGGGGAAGGGAGCTGTTTCCAGCACGCATGCGTGCCAGGACAAGGCTCCAGCAGAGCTGCTGGCAAGCCTGCGCACCGCAGGAACGTGGCAGCCATGCTCTTTGCCAGCTCTGCCTGCCCATGGGCACTGGCACCTGTGGGA